GAAACATCATGTTGGAATCTGAGGTTAAGAAGGAACCTCAAGGATATTGAAATCACAGAATGGGCAGCCCTTTGTCATCAGCTCACAGATGTTCACTTGTCTACACAAATAGATTCTATCAGATGGAGACTAGAGCCAAATGGATCTTTTTCCACCAGATCACTCACTAGAGACCTCACCCAACACCGTCCAGCCGCCCCAAACAGTCTCTGCAATCTGGAAAGATGGTTGCCCAAAGAAAGTGAGATTCTTCATTTGGGAACTTAGCCACCGAGCCATCAACACTAACGACAAGCTTCAAAGACGGCTCCCCTACCTGATTATCTCCCCAGAATGGTGCTCCATCTGGAAAGCTAACTTGGAATCACAACAACACCTCTTTGTTACTTGCACCTTTGCAGCAGATTTTTGGAGATCCATCCTCAACATCTTTGGATGGTCCACAACCCTACCAATTGACCCCCCTCTTCTCATAGAATACACTCTCGCTGGGCACCCCTTCAAAACTAAAAAGACTATCCTATGGATGAATTTTGTTCGAGCTTTCCTATGGACTATTTGGGGAGAATGGAACCAAAGAACCTTCAACGATAAACCACAACCTTCTGAGAGGTTTTTTGATACTATTGTTTACAAAGTTGTCACTTGGTGTAAGAACACTCCTTTTTTTCATCATGATAGTTACACTTCCCTATTAGTTAATTGGAAGTACTTCATGTAACCCTTCTTAAGGACCTCTTGTAATTTCATACATCAATGAAATTGTTTCTTTCACAAAAAAAAAAAAAATCTTTATTACTCAGGAGGTTTTCCTATTGATTGATTAATCCCAGACGAAGCATATTATGTAGAGGATGTGGAGTGACAAGATCACTCACCATATTGTGCCAATATAATAGATGTTGGGAGGTTCTCCTGCTCAAATTTTACTGTATTTGGTGCTAAAGAATCCACTCAGGAGAACATGATTCGATTACATGCCAAAGTGGGCAAAAGAGACGAGTTCGGATCCTCTCTCTCTAAAGTACTCTGTCCAAATTGTTGATTTTTCAATCGGAAAGAGTCTGAAGAATCAAACATTGTTGAAGATCTTTCATTCCAAATTGTTGATTTTTCAATCGGAAAGAGTCTCTTTTTTGGAAGAGCTTGATCATTATCAATGATGAAGATGGAGGTACCAAGTCTCTCATGCAAAGCTCTTTCGGGATCACATGTTATTTACCTTTGGTTGGTCTGTGGCACTCCCAGCCGACTCTTTCACCTTATTAGTTATTGTTCTAACTGGACACCCATTTAAGAAAGAAAGAGAACTTTATGGATCAACATGCTTTCTTTTGGTAAACATGGGCAGTGAGGAACCGCCACATTTTTTAAGACAAGGACAAAAGCTTCGGTAGCTTCTTAGGCACTCTTTTCTTTTTGGTTTTATCTTGGTGTAAATTATCAACACATTTACACAGTTATGACCTATCTTCCCTCACTTCCCAATGGAAAGATTTTTTGTAATTTTCCTTTGATAGGGTCCTTCCCCACCTTTGTAACTTCATAAAGAAATGAAATGTTTCTTATATATATATATATATATAAAGATGGAGGTACAAAGTCAATACTCCACAGTCTCAACATCTTCCCTTTGGTTAGGCTTGCTAGACGAAATGGATCCATTCCATCAACTTCTAAGTCATGGAGATTCCTTCTAAATCCCAGATTCCAACGGCATAATCAACATCCCAAACAATCTCAATGTGATTCAATTTGAGAGTTGAAAGACGAAATGGTCTAGGAAAGGTTTTATGCGAGAGGTTTCCATTTATCCAAGCATCTTCCATAAACTTCATTCTTTTACTCTTATTTTTTAGAAAAACAAGAAATAGAAATTTGAGACTTCTTTTTAATATTGTAAAAGTAAAAACTAATTATTTAAATATAATTATTTTGAAACTTATTTTTATAATATTGTAGTTTTTTCCTTATTCACCAATAGTAGATCAGATACGACAACAGTGTGCTATAAGATAATTCTGGCTTTACCTCTAGAACTGGCTTTATATTAATATTATTATCAATAATATAATTGATAAGCATTGCTGTTTAGTATTTGTTTTACTCATTCTTGATGCAGTATTACGATTTGCTGTGGTGGTCGTCACTAATTGCCACAACTATGACTTGCATATAAACCTTTTGGTGTAGGTGAACTTCTTGACCAAACTGGTTGCTTTGAAACCAGGGAACGTTGTCCAGGAGATGATAAGAAATGTAATGCTAGGTAAAGACGAGGGGGCTGATAAGTTGGATGATGATGAGGGAGATACTTCAGGTGGACAAAGGGTTTCAAGGGGAATTGCAGGAATGGTGGGTTTTTGTCTACTCCATGGATGCTTTAACATGTATAGGGGATTGTAGAATGCTGACTTGCTTTATGTTTTCTTTGTTCACTGTTTCT